CCTGTAGTCCCAGCTACTTGGGAGGCTGAGGCGGGAGACTTGCTTGAGCCCAGGAGTTGGAGGTTGCTGTGAGCTGTGATGCCATGGCACTCTACCCAGGGGGACAGCTTGAGGTTCCATCTTAAAAAAAAAATAAATAAAAATTGGTCCTGTAGCTCAAGGTGCCAGCCACATACACCTGAGCTGGCGGGTTCAAATCCAGCCCAGGTCTACCAAACAACAATGACAACTACAACCAAAAAATAGCGGAGCATCAGGGCAGGCACCTGTAGTCCCAGCTACTTGGGAGGCTGAGGCAAGAGAAATGCTTAAGCCCAGGAATTAGAGGTTGCTGTGAGCTGTGATGCCACAGCACTCTACCCAGGGTAACAGTTTGAGGCTCTGTCTCAAAAAAAAATCAAAATCTTTAGTTTGGCCTAAAAGGCTTTTATCTTTTCTTTTTTTGAGACACAGCCTCATTCTGTTGCCTAGGCTAGAATGCTATAGCAACAGCCTAGCTTACAACAACCTCAAACTCCTGAGTTCAAAATATCCTCCCGCCTCAACCTCCCAAGTAGCTGGGACTACAAGCACCCACAACATCTAGCTAATTTTTATGTTTTTAGTAGAGATGGGGTCTTACTCTCGCTCAGGCTGGTCTTAAACTCCTGAGCTCAAGTGATCCTTCTTCCTCAGCCTCCCAGACTGCTAGGATTACATTAAGCCACCATGCCTTACTTCACGCGTCCTCAAACTACGGCCTATGGGCCACATACAGCCCACCTAAGACACTTACCCAGCCTGCTGGGTGTTTTTGCTGCTGCTGCCTGTCCTGCTTAGCAGCCAACTTGTCCTGGGACCCACAGTCCGGCCCTCCAACGGTCTGAGGAACAGTGAACTGACCCCCTGTTTAAAAAGTTTGAAGACCTCTGCTAAAAAGCTGTTCTCTGCCAGGCTGGCTCACACCTGTAATCCTAGTACTCTGAGAGGCCCAGGTGGGTGGATTGCTTAAGCTCACAAGTTCAAGACCAGTCTGAGCAAAAGCAAGACCCCGGCTCTACTAAAAAAATAGAAAAACTGAGGCAAGAAGATCTCTTGAGCCCAAGAGTTGGAGGTTGCTGAGCTATGACACCACAGCACTTGGTAGGCAGATGACATGTATTCTGCACACAACAAAGTGAGACTCTGTCTCAAAAGAAAAAAAAAAGGCTTTTTTCTAGTCTAGTCCCTATTTCTCCATTTTTACCACATTTCAACCACATCAGCCTTTTAGTTCCTCAAAAACACCCACCCTTTTTTCCATGACAGGAGTCTTCCCTCCACCCCCCCAGACAGAGTCTCACTATGTCACTCTTGGTAGAGTGCCATGGCATCATAGTTTTACAGCAACCTCAAAATCCTGGGCTTAAGCAATTCTCTTGCCTCAGCCTCCCAAGTAGCTGGGACTACAGGCACCCGCCACAACGCCCAGCTATTTTTTGGTTGCAGTTGTCATTGTTGTTTAGCAGGCTCAGGCCAGGCTCAAACCCACCAGCCTCGTTGCATGTGACTGGCGCCCTACTCATTGAGCTACGGGCACTGAGCCACATGACAGGACTCTTACATATGCTATTTTCACTACTTGGTACACATTTCACTCCCTACCTCACCTACTTAAATCTCCTACTCATTATTCAAGTCAGTTCAGTAGTCACTCCTTCAGGGAAGCCCTCTTTGAACCCTAAGAGTAGGTCAAAGACCATTATTATACAGGGATTTATTCATAGCATAATGAATCTTCTCTACACAAAGCTTACTAAAGTTGTAATTTGTATGTTTGTAACTTTAATGCCCATCTCTCCTACTAGAGAGTAAACTCTATTTGGGCAAAGACTATGTTTATTTTTGTAATCCCAGTACCCAGGCACATTAAAGGCATTAAAAGTATTTACTGAGTGACTGCTAACCTCCTGCTGAGTAAAGTGATTCTTTTCTAAAATGGCCTTAAAGTTAAAAATGCCATAGTACATCTGAGATCTAGCTTCCCAAATTTTAAGGAAGGAAGCTCCACACCTATCACCCACATCTAGAAGGACTTTTTTTCTTTTTGGAGATAGAGTCTCACTTTGTCACCTTTGGTAGAGTGCCATGGCATCATAGTTCACAGCAGCCTCCAAATCTTAGACTCAAGTGATTCTCTTGCCTCAGCCTCCCAAGTAGCTGGGACTACAGGTGCCCATTGCAACGCCTGGCTATTTTTTTTTTTTTTAAGAGATGGGATCTCACTCTGGCTCAGGCTGTCTCAAACATGTGAACTCAGGGCAATCCATTCACCTTGGCCTCCCAGAGTGTTAGGATTACAGGAACGAGTTACTGTGCCCTGCTCCACATCTTGAAGGATTTTATATGGCTTATCTCATCCCTCTTCCATCAAACAAGTGATGTCAGCATGAACAATTTGGAGGTGGCAGGAGGCAGCATATTAAAAGCCTAGGTGGACTCACCCCTATGGTAGATGCCATGTAGTCTGCACACATTTCTGCAAAGTCCCGTTCAAGAACTCCATAGTAGAGGCCATAGAAGAGGAGAGAAATCCCAAAGTCCATGGCATCTTCTGGTTTGATCCTGTAAGGAAAGTAGCATAGCCAGTAAGGCCTGCCCTGAGAAATGAATTGCTTTAGATCACTACTCTGCAACACAGACGACAGTACCTAAAGTGGGAAGGCTCAACGACTCTAGAGCAAGTGTTGGCAAACTGTGACCAAATCTCATTGGCTGCCTATTTTTATATGGCCCATGAACACCCCTGAGCAGGCAGACCAGCAGGGTGAACTGCAAAGATTAAGCTGAGTATCTCTGCTTGCCTTTTTCCTCACTTTGCTCTCAGTTCCTGCCTCCACTGACCAGTAGCTATGCCTTGTAGTTGCCCAGGACCTATGCTCGTCAGGACTCCACTGGAGAGTCCACTGTTAGCAACTGTTGGACACCAGCTGAGGTGCCTCGCTGAGTTGTCTCACTTCTGGCCAGCCACCCAAGTTAAAATGGCTGAGCACTTCAAAAGGAGGGTAAGTGCACACTGATGCAGAATGAAAATTACCCCAGTGGGCACACATGCTCTGCCAAGCTGCCTGTTCTGAGAATATTTCAACTGATGTCAACTGGGCACAAAGTATGGCTACTACATGAGACCTGTCCACTTTCTCTAGGCAAACAGGGTGTGCAGGATAAGAATTTTATCTCTTGTTATCTAAGTATCTACATAATACCCTCAATTTATGCCTCCTGTCCCATACAGAGCCTAATAGACTCTGGCCCTTTATAGAAAAAGTTTATAAATAGGTTTAGAAAAAGGATAAAATTGGTTAGTTAGCAAAATTTAAATAACAGTTACCATAAAATTATTAGTTGCATCTATACATATTCTGTACTGTGGCTTTAATGTCAGATTTTGGGCTAAGTCTATTTACCAAGAAGAAAGACCTTGCCTATAATATTAGAGAGTTTATCTTAATAATTCTGAGGACTAAGAATTTAAACTCTGAGTCTACAAATGTTTGTTATAGAAAATTACCTGTTAAAATATTTGTACAAAGGACTGTGTTCACTTAAAGTTGTAAATTATATTTATTATAGAAAGTTGAGTTTGTTCATCAACCATATTTAACCCATTGACTAGACATCATTGATCTTACACCAACTAACCTGATCAGCAACATAAGAATAGTCAAGAATCTCAGTTCTGTTTTCCATCTTGTATAGTTTACGCAAATAAAAAGAAACTGTAATTAGAAAAAACCTCTTCAAAACATAATGAAGAATCTTTTGGTTTTTATTTTTTAACCACACAGGTTAGGAAGACACCTAGAAATACCTTTCTTTTCTTTGACAAGATACGTTAGGCTCTACAATGATGAATTCCTCTAAACCAGTGGTTCTCAACCTTTCTAATGCCACAATGTATTTTCATTGTTATAAAGGGGTCACGACCCACAGGTTGAGACCACTGCTCTAAACCTTTCTGGAGCCTGTCTATTCTTTCAGCCTGCACTACCCCTGTAAAAAAGAATTCCATGGGTGCCCTCTCACTATATAGAATAGGATTTATTTTTATTTGACCTAAAATAAACTCCTTTCTGGCTCAGAGGCTCCTACATGGAGTATACTAGGTTGGGGATGAGGCCAGTGGTCACCCGTTTATGAACATAAATTTAAATCCTAAACCTCTACCTTCAGTGCACTCTCCTAGGCTTGACTCTTCATGATCCACAGCCCAAAGTCACCATGACTTCATCCAGGAACTCACATCTCCACCTTCTTCTGCGTACTGACTTACTGTACCCTCTAATCTCTGAGCTTAGGGTTTATTGGTTTCTGGCTCAGTTGGGTGTGGGAAGACCTATAAATTGATACAGATCTTTTGGAAGGCTTAAGACATAGGCAACAGGCTCGGCTCCTATAGCTCAACCGGCTAAGGCGCCAGCCACGTACACCTAAGGTGGCGGGTTCGAATCCCCAGCCCGGACCCGCCAAACAACAATGACGGCTGCAACCAAAAAATAGCCGGGCGTTGTGGCGGGCACCTGTGGTCCCAGCTACTTGGGAGGCTGAGGCAGGAGACTCGCTTGAGCCCAGGAGTTGGAGGTTGCTGTGAGCTGTAATGCCACGGTACTCTACCCAGGGGGACAGCTTGAGGCTCTGTCTCAAAAAAAAAAAAAAAAAAAGACATAGGCAACAGCCAAAATCCCACTCCTAGGAAAGTACCCTTAGGAAGCAACATAACAATGTCATGTGTGACAGTACTAAATAAAAAATAACCTAAATGTGCAACAATAAAACAGGTTAAATGTCAGTAGGTTAACTTCCTAGAACTGTTTCTTTAGAAATCTGACAAAGATCAAATGTCAGCTGTGATACAAGCAACATATCACTTATATGTTAAACACCAGTGGTAGTCCCAGCTACTTTGGAGGCTGAGGCAAGAGAACTGCTTACGCCCAAGACTTTGAGGTTGCTGTGAGCTGTGACACCACAGCACTCTACTGAGGGCAACAAAGTGAGACTGTCTCAAAACAAAACAAAACAAAAACGCGACCAGTGATTAGTACATCACCTCTGGACTAGGACATTCCTTTTTTAAAAAATAAAAAAAAATGTTTTTGAGCAGTGGCATCATCATAGCTCACCGCAACCTCAAATTCCTGGACTCATGCAATTCCTCTCACCTCCTTATGAACCACCACGTCTGGCTAATTTTTCTATTTTTTGTACAGACGGGGTCTCACTATGTTACTCAGGGTTGTCTCCCACTTCTGGCTTCAAGTTATCCTCTGACCTCAGCCTCCCAGAGTGCTAGGATTATAGACATGAGCCACCATGCCTAGTCTGGACAAGGACATTGTTTTGTTAAGTTTTTTATTTTTGTTTTTGTTTTTTTTTTGAGACAGAGCCTCAAGCTATCCCCCTGGGTAGAGTGCCATGGCATCACGCTCATAGCAACCTCCAACTCCTGGGCTCAAGCGAGTCTCCTGCCTCAGCCTCCCAAGTAGCTGGGACCACAGGCACCGGCCACAGCTCCTGGCCATTTTTTGGTTGCAGCCATCATTATTGTTTGGCGGGCCCGGGCTGGGGATTCGGGCCCAGGCTGGGGATTCGAACCCGCCACCTTAGGTGTATGTGGCTGGCGCCTTAGCCACTTGAGCCACAGGCACCGAGCCGTTTTGTTAAGTTTTTTGAGACATAGTTACATTCTGTTATCCTGGGTTGAGTGCGGTGGTGTAATCATGGCTCACAGCAACCTCAAATTCTTGGGTTCAACAGATCCTCTTGCCTCAGCCTCCCAAGTAGCTGGGACCAGCCACAACACCTGGCTGTTTTTTTCTATTTTTCAGTAGAGACAGAGTCTTGCTCTTGCTTAGGCTGGTCTTGAACTCATGAGCTCAGGTGATCCACCCACCTTGGCCTCCCAGAGTGCTAGGATTACAGGTGTGAGCCACTGCCAGATAGCTAGAAATTCCTTGGGGGGGAATGGAGCTCCTAGACCAGGTTTCCATAGCCATTTATGAGGTTTCATTCCCTCAAACGTTAGCTCTGGGATTCCTACAAACATAACCTGCTGTGGATCTATTGCCAGATGTGGCCAACCATGGTCATATGAGTTTGATGCTCTAGCCCTAGGGTTAGCGAACTTTTTCAGTAAAGGGCAAGACAGTAAATATTTAAGGTTTTGCACCTCACCTCACCTCACATTAATTCAAATCTGCTGTTTTACTGCAAAAAGACCCATAAACAGTATGAAAAGTGAACAAGCATGACTGTATTCCAGTAAAACTTTATTTTAAGCTTATTTGGCCCACAAAGAGTAGTTTGTCACTCCCCTACCCCTTTTTAGTTGAATATAAGGCCACTCTGGTAGAGTGGATGTTGCAAATAAATACTATACATGGACCATGAAAATAGTTTTGTTAGATTAATGGGGTTATGGGTAATTGGTAATAATTATTATGTTTACTTTTGTTATACTTTTCCATTAAAATATAAATTCTTAAAAAATACAACTGATTTGGAACTCTGACCTTGTATATATTCAGACAATCTTTGCTTTCTGCTAGCACAAGTAATGGAGAACCTCTCTTATTCCTCTAGCACCCAAGTTTCCTGTCCTGAGTATTATGTTCATCTTGTAAATATCCAGGATTTGCAGCAGGAAGAAAGGTACACATCACCAGCTACTCTTCCCCAAACAAAAGCAAAGGGTACTCACTTGAATAATAGGTTAAGACCAAAGAGGGTAAACATGACAGCCATGTAGCCAACGATGCCAGTAGCATAGCTGATTTTATAGATCAGCAGGAACCACTTATAAACCAACCTAGAGAAAGGAGAGAAAAGCAATACAGCTGACAGAGAGACTTGGACCTCGGGGACCACTGAGAATCCCTATTCTTATATCAGTGAGTACATCAGGCTTTTGGCTCAAGACTTACTAGGCAACTTCAGTTACTACCCAAACCTGTTCTCTCTCTTTTTGTGTGTGTGTTTTGGGGATAGAGGGTCACTCTGTGCCCTGGGTAGAATGCCATGGTGTCATAGTTCACAGCAACCTCAAACTCTTTTGCTCAAGTGATCCTCTTGCCTCAGCCTCCCATGTTGCTGGAACTACAGGGGCCCACCACAATGCCCAGCTATTTTTAGAGATAGGGTCTCACTCCTGTTCAGGCTAGTCTTGAACTCCTAAGCTCAAGCAAGCCACACACCTCGGTTTCCCATAGTGCTAGGATTACAGGAGTGAGCCACTGGGCCTGGCCTGTTTACTCTCTTAATTGCAGAACACCTCCATCTATAAAGGAGCTAGTGCTTTGTATTTTTTCTAGTCTGCCAAAAAGGGAAAAAAAGAGATCCCTAAAAAAGAGCACAGCTATGGCTTGGGGCCTATAGATCAGTGAGTAGGGCACCAGTCACATACACCAAGGGTGGCAGGTTCGAACCTGGCCAGGGTCTGCTAAAGAGCAATTGACAACTACAACAAAAAATAGCTGGGTGTTGTGGCGGGCGCCTATAGTCCTAGCTACTTGGGAAGCTGAGGCAAGAGAATCACTTAAGCCCAAGAGTTGGAGGTTGCTGTGAGCTGTGATGCCACGGCACTCTACCAAGAGTGACATAGTGAGACTCTGTCTCAAAAATAAATAAATTATATATATACACACACACACACACACACACACACACATATATATATACACACATCCAAAAATTTGAAATAAATAATAATGATAAATAAAAATAATAAAATAAACTACCAAAGCCAGAGAGGGGCTTCTGGATCACCAAATTCACCTTGTACAATGAAACTCAGAGAAGGCCAGAGAAAGGCTTACAGTAAAGTAGAACATAAAAGGTACAGAAGAAAAGCATTTGCCACTCTAAAGATTTTGGATCAGGGAGTTACAATTTTGAGGCTGGCCAGTTCCTCTGTTAGGTTCTCCTAGACCTGTGCACACCCCTATCACAGCACTTACCAACTGCACTGCAACAGGTGCTTTCTTGTCCATCTCTTCCATTAAACCGAGAACTCCTTGAGGGCAGGGACCAAGTCTTATCCAGCTCTGTATCCCCAGGGCTCAGCACAGGGCCTGGCACACAGTAGGTGCTTATTGAATGAATGAATGAGAAAATCTCTTTTTCTGTCAAGTATAGATATTAAATGACCTCACAAGCTGGTTGGGAACATCAAATGAGAAATGAATTTAGATAAAATACAAAGAAGTATCTAGGTAAGTAGCTGCTTTGTGACTTGAGAAGTATTGTTTGTTGGAAAATTACAAATTTGCTGAAATTCATTCATTCAACAAAAATTCATGGAGTAGGATACTATGTGCCAGACCCTGTGACAGGGCCTGGATATATAGAACAAACAAAATGGATATGGTTCCTGATCTCATGGTTATAGTTTAATGGGAGAGATAAGATATACAAAATAATATATAATTATAAAGTATGGTAAGTTCTATGAAGGAAAATTAATGTGCATTATGAGAAAATATAATGGAAAATCTAATTTGGGGATCAGAGGAGGGTTCACAAAAGAAAATAACTTTTAAAACGAGACCACAATGATCACCAGGATTTACTCAGTTTGTTTGTAATATAAACAGACCTTGACATGAGCCATAAAGTAAGCTGTAGAGAAATATTTGGGGCTTTTAAATCTGTGACAAGGGTAGGTGGGTCTCCCAATCAGCTTGTTTTAGAGCAATTTTGGCAGACAAAAACTGCTATCTTTTAGTTTAGACCCATCCTCCTCCCATCCATTCCAACCCATTAGCTTTAAAAAACCTGGGCTCTTTCCCACTACCTAAACTCTCACCTTGGGGTTGTCTGTACTAGAGGTTTTCGGGTGGCTCGGAAGGTGACAAAGGCTGTGACAGCAGAGAACAAGATCCAGATCACTAGGAACCTCCACCAGTGCAGCTTTACTGTGAAATAGAGGGGAACAACCCACATCTGAAAGAGGGTCACCATCTGAAACACAAACATAAACACTTCAGCTCTATCCACAAGTCTAGAATGCATCTCGTTTTCTATTTTAGCTTGATCCTCTCCTGTATTTCCAATGTTGGATCAAAGTTAGAAACCTGGGACCATGCTTGACTCTTTTTTCCCTTTCCTCCCTCACTTAACTATCTCTTGGATAATATGTCATTCTGTGCTTCAAACCCTTTAAAGCCCCCTTGCATATATATAGGATAGGACCCAACATCCTTAGCTAAGCACTCAAATCCCCCTTAATGTAGGGCCAAACCACTGTTTTGAGGGCCATCTACCACACTCCATGCCTTTAAGTCAAGTTGTTCTCCTTAGGCTAAAACATCCTTCCCACCTGCCTTTCTGCCTGATAATATCACATCCAAGGCATATAAAATCTTCAGTCTCCTTTTGGCAGAATTAGTCATGACTTTCTAGTGCTTCAGAAGCATTTTCTTTTCCATTATCTTTACAGTGCTTACCTAGAGTATGAGACTAGATTCAAATTCATTCTCTACCTGAATATAAGCTACTTGAGGGCAGTTGACTAAAGCCATGTTCCTGTTTCTTCTGTGCTAGGAAACTGGCATATGAAAGGTTCTCAATGAACTTGGATAAACCAATAAGAAGAAAGTAAAACTAGACTAGAGAAATACTCCTTAAGAGGGAGGCACACTTCTATTTGAAAGATAGCCTAATTTACTTTTCTCACCTTCAGAGCTTTACCTCAGACTTAAGAGTTTCAAAAGCACAAAACAATTCTAAGAATTCTGGAGTAATCAACAGTCATCTGTTCCCCAATGCCTCCTATTTCCCCAACCACTTGCTTTCAATAGAAAGTAGATGGTATAAAAAAAGATGATTAGCACTTAATGGAGGTTTTCCTCCTGATGCCATCAGACACAAGAAAGGAGAGGAGGGGAGGGGAGGAGAGGGGAGCAGAGCGGAAGGGAGGAGAAGAGGGGAGCGGAGGAGAGGAGAGAGAAGAGAAGAGAAAAGACAAGACTAGCTAATTTCCTGACGGTCCATAGTAGAAAAAACTAAAAAAGTATTTACTTGTAGGGATTTCTGGACCAGTGCGGTCCAATTGAAATATAAAGCAAGTCACATACATTATCCAAAACTTTCTAGCTGCTACCTTTTATAAAAGTAAAAAGAAACAGATGATATTTTATTTAACTCTATATATATATACAAATCACTTCAATATATACCCAATATCAAAATTATTTATGAAATATTTAACTTTTTTGTATTAAGGCTTTGAAATTTTAAGTGTGTTTTATATTTACAGCAGACCACATTTCATTTCAAGTGGTCAATAACTACATGTAACTGGTGGCTACCATAAGAGAAAGTGCAGCTTACAGCTTCTTTTTAGTGTTTAGATGTCTTTAGCTACCATTCTCCTACAGACTGCTGTATAACAAGAAAAAGTCCTAGTTTTTCAGTGTTATTTTACAGATAAAAAGTGAAACAGTGAGAAGAGAATTGACAATGGTAAGAAGAGTCACTTTGCTTTAGAGGTTCCCAATCTGTGTGCCCAAGGATGCTGGCTGTTAGCCAGCAAAACATGAAGTCTCAAAACCAATGCTACTGCATACGAACCCACAAATGACCCCCTAATGAGGGATTCTATCTAAAATGGTCTGGAATTACATAAGAAATGTGGAAGCACCAGGATGTCTAACAAATGGCTACCCAAATAATGCTATTTTAGGTGACATTGGGAGATCAGGAAAAGATATGACAATAAACAACTGCAGATTTATTTAAATTAGGGGATTAGGCAACCTGAATGATGATACCAAAAAAGAAGGTTAGTTATGTATAGAAGGTCTTGCTTTAACAGGCTCATGGGGCTTTTTACAAAACAGGTTCATAGACTAGAGGAGAATTAAATCACACAGTCTGGTCACATTTGTCCTCTCTGAGAAAGAACAGAAATTCCTGGTCTCCTTCCAGCTTTTCAAAAACCCTGGCTGCATAAAAACAAACCTGCTCTAATGGCCCCTTTCCCAGTCCCCACCGGCCATCAATAGCATGTTCTGAGGAGGAATCTGAGGTTGAAGTTATTTTCAGTACATCAGCTACAACTCTGTACATTTTGGGTGATGTTAGGACAGAGACCCTGGTTTCTATTCTGACTTGGATAAAGACACAATCAGGAGAAAGTGTGCACATCAGTATAAAAGGGATAAAAAAAATCTTCACTCATTTTATAACTTTCAGGGTTGAAACTTTAGGGTGAAAAAGCTACTCAAGTCACACAGAGAGAGGGACAGTGTGCACACACACATATGCAAGCAAACATACACAAGAAGAAAGAGAAAAAGAGAGAAAAGAGAGGAGGAAAGAGGTATTTAGAGACGGGATTAGGCTCTTTGAAACCAGATGGCCCAGTGGAAACCCAGCAGACCTGAGTTCTAGTTCTGTTCTGCCTCCAACTCATTAGGTCACCATAAGGAGACCCTTTCTTCTTGAAAGAAAGGTTTGGTCCCAGATGACCAAAAATTGCATTACAACAAAGATATTTGTATCAGAATGTTTATTGCAGCCCAATTCATAATTGCCAGGTCATGGAAGAAGCCCAAGTGCCCATCAATCCATGAATGGATCAACAAACTGTAGTATATGTACACCATGGAATACTATGCAGCCATTAAGAAGGATGGAGACTTTACGTCCTTCATGTTCACATGGATGGAGCTGGAAAATGTTCTTCTTAGCAAAGTATCACAAGAATGGAAGAAAAAGTATCCAATGTACACACCCCTATTATGAAACTAATTTATACCTTTTATATGAAAGCTATAACCTAATAACAGCCTAAGAATACAGGGAGGGGGGAGGGAGAAGGGATGGGGGAATGGATGAAGGGAGGGGGATTGGAGGGTTCACTTCTGAGGTTTATCTTACAAGGGTACAAGTGAATCTTTCTAAGAGTAGAATGTGAACATTTTAAAACAATCACTAAGAAAATGACATGAAAGCTATGTTAACCAGTTTGATGGAAGTGTTTCAGATTGTGTGTGAAAACCCCACACTGTACCCCAGAAGTGCATTAATGTACATAGTTACCATTCAATAAAAAAAAGAAAAGAAAGGTTTGGCTTAATTTCTTAAATCCCTTCAAGTTCTAACAGGCTAAAGTTCTGTCAACCAGTCCTGTATATCAGAGCTCCTGGAAGAGTGGAGGCAACATTCACTCCCTCATTTATCAATTATATATATATATATGTGTATATATATATATATATATATATATATATATATTTTGCATTTAATGGGAAGAGGAATGCAGAAATAAACATGATCCCTAGTCCTTGTCCTCCAGGAGCTACTAGTCTAGCAGCAGGAAAAAGATCTAATTCTAACCCTTATTTTAATGATCCTATTAACTTTCAGACCATTTCTAGAAGTACAAATAGAAATCATTAAAGAATGAACAGGCCAGGTGTGGTGGCTCACACTTATAATCCTAGCACTCTGGGAGGCTGAGGCAGGTGGACTGCCTGAGCTCAGCAGTTTGAGACCAGGCTGAGCTAGAGCGAGATCCCGCTTCTAAAAATAGCTGGGTGTTCCAGCTACTTGAGAGGCTAAGGCAAGAGGATTGCTCGTGCCCAAGAGTTTGAGATTGCTGTGAGCTATGATGCCACAGCACTCTACTGAAGGTGACAGAGTAAGAAGATTCTGTTTCCAAAAAAAATTTTCAAAAAACAAAAGAAGAGTGAAAAAAGTGGAATGATATAGTGAAGAAATTCAGAGATTTTTAGAATTAAAGAAATTTATTTATTTATTTTTTGATTTTCAGATTATTATGGGGGTACAAATATTTTGGTTACATGAATTACATTTTTGTACAGGTTTTTTTTTGAGACAGAGTCTCACTATTTCGCCCTCAGTAGAGTGCCGTGATGTCACAGCTCACAGTAACCTCCAACTCCTGGGCCTAGGTGATTCTCTTGCCTCAGCCTCCTGAATAGCTGGGACTACAGGGGCCCACCACAATGCCCAGCTATTTTTTGTTGCAGTTTGGCCGGGGCTGGGTTCAATCCCACCACCCTCAGTATATGGGGCCAGCGCCCTACCCCATGAGCCACAGGCGCAGCCCAGAATTAAAGAAATTTAAATATGAATCCCAATGCAGCTATTTACTGTGTTACCTTAAGTAACTTAACCCTAATGAGGCTCAGTTCTCAGTTCTCTAAACTGTAAAAATGGGGTTAATGGTATCTGCTCTCATAAGGTTGTTTGGGTTAAGTGAATTAATGCCTATAAAGTACTAAGAACACTATAAGTAATGTAATAAATACAAGCATTTGACATAATAGCTTTTATAGGAAATGGAAGTAATGTATATAAAACAAGTATACTGTACCATTCGTAATAAATGCTCAGTAAATGAGAGCTTTTATGACGGCTTCACATGACCAAAAATGAATAGTCACACATACAAGTGAACAAAGACCAGAATGCGGTGACCCAAATAATCAACATACTAAAAGTGGTGGGATTATAGCAATTTTTTTTTTTTTTTT